AATGGTACCATCTTAGCTCACTACAACCTCTGCCTGCCAGGTTCAAGTGATTCTCCTGCCTCAGCCTCTCCAGTAGCTAGGATTACAGGTGCCTGTCACCACACCTGGCTAATTTTTTTATTTTTAGTAGAGACAGGGCTTCGCCATGTTGGCTAGGCTGGTTTTGAACTTCTGACCTCAGATGATCCGCCCGCTTTGGCATTCCAAAGTGCTGGGGATTACAGGTATGGGCCACCATGCCTGGCCGAAGGGATTGTGTCGTAAGAATCTGGTAAATGTTGGTCTTCCAGGCAGCCAAGGACTTGAAGGGAAAGGTTTCTGGGTCACACAGGGGCTGCACCCTGAAAGTCAGAAGAGAGTCCACTCCTTCCTCCCTCTTGGGTCTCTGGTCTCTCTTGGACTCACCCTTCTTGCCTGAGTCTGTATGACTTTCTGGTCCCACTCACAGCAGCTGACTGGTGTAGTGTCCAATTCCAATTTTAAGGAGAGAGGTTCTGATTGGCTCCTTGGTCAGGTGGCTTGCTCTGGTCCACCTGGCTCGTGCCTCACCCAGACCCCGCCCCCCAGGCTCACTCCCTCGGTTGGCTGGGCTGAGGGCAGGTTCTCTTAAAAAGGGTTGGACTCGAATCAGAGGTCATAGACTGGGCCAGAGGGCACATTACTGAAGAATACTGCAGTCGTATTTTGCTTGGCTAGCATAGTGTTTTACAAGACCTAGAACTGGAATGCTCTGAGGTGGGACACGCTTCCTCCAGCCTACCGCAGGCCTCGACACTCCCTGCGGTTTACCTCCACCCTCTCCACACATTCAAGTTGCCTGCCTGGCCCCGAGGCATTTGACTCTGCCATGCCTGTAATTGATGAGTAATGCCGCTGGATTTCTCCAACACTCACCTTTGTTCTATGTGGCCGGTCTGCCTGCAAGAGATAGCCCCTTCCATCAGCCACGCATCCCTCCCGGCTCTCGGCTGGTCAGTCTTGCTTCCCAAGGGCACATTGACTAGTGTTAGCAAGTAGGGGACCCTTTGTTTCAAACGGGTCAGATGGGCAGTGGGAAAACGAGATGTGTGGAATCGTGAAGGGGGACTGTGGTAAGAGGCCTTCAAAGGTGGCCAAGCCCTCAGACCCAGGCAAATTGTGTCTCAGGGAATGAGAGAAGTCATGTGACCTGAAAGCTGTTGATAGCCTTGAGGAATCGCAGACCCTCTTAGGAGTCAGAAGACTGGATTGTGAATAGGCCAGTTTTCAATACAGTGAAAAACATTACGGATCATTTTTTTGACTCCAATCTTTGTCAAAGGGATTGTCTAAAATAGTTTGGGAGCAAATAACAAAGAATACATGCTCAAATGAAGCTGATCCCACCCGTTCCCTAAAAACAACTTAGGACGGCCGGGCGCGGTGGCTCATGCCTGTAATCCCAGCACTTTGGGAGGTCAAGGCGGGTGGATCACGAGGTCAGGAGTTCAAGACCAGCCTGGCCAAGATGGTAAAACCCTATCTCTACTAAAAATACAAAAATTAGCTGGGCATAGTGGTGGGTGCCTGTAATCCCAGCTACTTGAGAGGCTGAGGCAGAGAATTGCTTAAACCCGGTAGGCAGAGGTTGCAGTGAGCCGAGATCGTGCCACTGCACTCCAGCCTGGGTGACAGAACAAGGCTCTGTCTCAAAAAACAACAAAATAAAAACAACTTATGACAATGTATCCCCATTTCCTTCTTCGATCAAGTCCGAGTTTAGTAGATTACGATTCCGGGAAGCACAGGAAATCTGACTTTTCGCTGAGCATTGGTCATTGTCTCCCATGACTGTCTCACAGCTAAAGGGTAAAATGTGGGTTAGGGTGGTGCTTCCCAAGCCACTGATAAACTTTTCACTAGGATGCAACAAAGTAAAACAAAGAATGATGTCCTGTGCCTCTGTCACCCACTCACACACATGCATGCAAACACAGGGTTTGTGTTTGTGAGAATTCATTATTCAAGCTGCAGATTCGAGCTCATCATAGAAGTAAATAAGAGCAAGTATTCTTCCCAGAAGGGTTCCTTAGGACGTGGTGAGCTTCCGACAGAACAGCTGTCCTGGGTGGAGAGCAGATTCGATGCCTCTGACTCTTAGTTCCAGTCATTCTCTCTGTCTCTCCGAGACTCCCCCTACTGATGGAGTGGCTCAGAAACTTTCCCCACTATGGCCCACTCGAGTGCCTCCTCTCATCTGGTGGCTGTGCCATCATGCTCGGAAATGGGCAGTGTCCACTCAGCAATAGGTCAGGAGGATCCAGCCAGTGGAATCTCAGCCCCAAGACCTCAGGGACCCCCGTCTCTTCCCTCTTCTAGACATCTGACCTACCCGAGAGCCAGTCTTCTTTTTCCTCCCACCTCAATTCCCACGGCTCTCAGTCCAGAAGCCTCCAGGACCTTCCCAAGTTTCAGTTACTCGATTTTCCCCTCATGGGAGGTGGTGTTGAACTAAACTGGAATAGGTGTTGCCCCCTCTCTCCTTTTGCCCTCCTCACCATGAAGTGTTGTCACCCCTGCTCTCTCCTACCCTGAGAACACCCCAGGAGCCCTGAGAACTCTGCCAACCATAGGCTTCTGGAATCACCTCTGTGGCCTAACCCTTCAGTCCAAATGACCGCTTCTCTCTAGAGCTGCTCCCACAAGCCAGAGCTGTGGGTGGCCTGTTTCCTGCCCCAGGGACCCTTGTTGGGGTAGAGAAGAGATGGGGCTGGGAATGGCCTGCTTCCTCCAGCCACAGGCAGGGTCTAGCATGGGCGATTTGGAACAGCTTCTTACCCTCATCCTCATCCTGAAATTCTGGCTTGGGTGACATCAGCCACCATTTATTGAGCACTGAATCTGTGCCAGGTACAAGTTGTCTTTTATAATCCTAACAACCCTGAGAGGCAGAGGTCAGCAACGCATTGTACTGATGAGAACACTGAGACCCAGAGAGATGAAGATGATCTAAGACCACCCAGCTAGTCTGTGGGCACTGGGTCTAGGAGCTGGTCTGCCCAACTTGGCACAGCCTGCTCCTAACTCCCTGCCTCACCCTGCTTCCTCACCAGGCAAGTCACTAAGGCAGAGGGCGTGGCCTTGGCAGGCAGGTTTGGGTGCCTGTTTTTCGAGGTCTCTGCCTGTCTGGACTTTGAGCACGTGCAGCACGTCTTCCACGAGGCAGTGCGAGAGGCTCGGCGGGAGCTGGAGAAGAGCCCCTTGACTCGGCCCCTCTTCATCTCTGAGGATAGGGCCCTGCCCCACCAGGCCCCGCTCACTGCCCGCCATGGGCTGGCCAGCTGCACCTTCAACACACTCTCCACTGTCAGCCTGAAGGAGATGCCCACTGTGGCCCAGGCCAAGCTGGTCACCGTGAAGTCTTCCCGGGCCCAGAGCAAGCGCAAGGCACCTACCCTGACCCTCCTGAAGGGCTTCAAGATCTTCTGAGGGCCCCTCCCCAGGAACTCTGGGCTCGGCGGCTGGATAGGACTTCAGCAGGACAGGGGCTGGCTTCTCACCACCGGCCTTTCCCTCTGATGGACAGCAGACCCCACCTCCAGCACCAAGCAGTGTCTCTACACTCAGTTCCCTGTGTGAGCTGGAGTGGCAGGCAGGGATGCTGCTACTGTTCCCGCCAGGCCTTGTTCTTCATGGTAACCACCACATCTGTGGCCCTGGAGGGAAACAGCCACTGCGACAACCCAGAGACCTGGGGTTAGCCTTAAGTAGGAAGAAACTGCAGTGTCCATCCTGCTGCCATCAGCCTTTCCTGCTCCAGCTACAGTTGGGCCAGCTGTGGCCCTTCGTGGACAGTCCGGGTGGACAGCTCTGTCAATGTCAGGCCTGAGAACAGCCTGTAGAATGACAGCCCTGGGGTCCTTGTGCCACCTGGTGGACGGGAAAGGCAGGGCGGCTGCAGTTTCAGAGGCCAGAGCCAGGACCTCCTGTCATCTGCTGACTTCACAGAAGGCCCAGGCTACAAACTCCACAGTTTATCTAAGGAAAATCTAGTTAAAATAATCCAATGGGCTGCCTGGGCGGGGCAAACAGGCCCCAGGAAGGGGTATTTCCAGCACTTGGCCTCTCAATGAGGGTAAAAGGGAGGGGGCTGTCCAATGTAAGGAACCCCAGAGTTCTTTCACCAGCAGAGTCCCCATGTTTTCCCACTGTTAATGACGCTGTCCGTAGAACCTCAGGACCAGCTCCCTCAAGTTTAATGATCAGGCTGAGAAGAAAGTTGTCACTCTAGTGAGTTACCCAGGGCTCCAGGGAGCCCACAGCAGCATCAGACCCATCCAGGGGCTACAGGGCATGCCCCCTTACAGGTGGAAAAACAGTATCCCTGTTTGTCTTCTGGTTTGGCAGGACCCAGGACCCTCAGCAATGGGTCTGAGTGTTCAAAGCCCACTTTAGAACCTAAATCATTTTGGGTTAATAAAGCAGATTTTTGCATATGTTATTTGGTGGTGTCGGCACAGCTTATTCCGGAATACCACGGCTCAGACGTGGGATCAGGACGCTCCTCTGGGATCCCACCTTTGGCAAGAAAGTCCCTCCGAGGCAGACAGTATGGTCATTATCTGATTGTGTTTGCCACCCACCAAGTCCAAAGGAAGTGTTGCACAGATTCTTAGCAGATAAGCAGGGAAGGAGAGTGCCCTGGTGGGTGGAAGGATTGGGAAGGGGGTTCCAAGCCTGGAATCCTGCTCCTTCCCCTCTTAGCAGTCTCAAGACTGCTGCTGGATTGCAGACAGCATCTCTGACCCAGTCTTCAGCCACGTTCTGTAAATGGAGGAGCTGAGGTCGGCGCGGGGGGGTGGGGGAGTGGGCGGGGGGGGCGGGGGGAGCGTGGTGTGAACTATTCAAGACCACATGCTTAGAGTCCTAGCCAGGCTTCCTGACACACAGGCCAGATACGGATTTCGCACTTTTGCTCCAAGCCACTTGTGTGTGTGTGTGTATGTACCACTGCCATCTGAACACACTGCAACACTACCCGCTCACTTCCAGGAGCATTTTAATAAAAGATTTTTTTAATAACAGAATTTTAGTTTGCTTGCAGTTCATTCATTGTATCTACTTTAAAAAAAGAAGAAGAAGAAAGCACTGTGCTTGGGAGAGGCTGTAAAGTCTGAGGTTTCAGGCCGCTGAGCTGAGCCCAGATCGTGTGCCTGGCTTAGGGTGGGGCTTCTCTGAACCTTCACTAGCTCTCAGTTTCTGGTACATCTGGAAGGAAAACTGACAGCACATCTCTCTCTTTTAACTCGAGTTCCACCTGGGCCGAGTTTGGCTTTTCTGAGAGCAAAGTCTGTCTTAGGTTGTTTAGGCTGCTGTGATCCTTGGTTCTGGCCTCATCCAAATGCAGAACTTCCGGAGTTTCTTTTTCTGGTGGCTGCATCTTTTGATTTCTGGGGGGACAGGGAACAGTGTTAACCAGGGAGGCTGAGTGGTTGGGGCAGGACTGGGTCTCCCAAATGGCTTAAGGAGTCTCAGGGGAAAATCCTATATGCAGTATATATCCTATATACTGTGTGGGGGGTGGGGGTGGGGGAAGCAGCAGCAAAGGTTGGATGTTGCTTCGACAGAGAAATGGCTTATGCTTGTGTGTGTGTCATCTCAAGGAACCCTTACTGTCACCTGTGAGCTCAAATATCATTGCCACCCCACACCTTCCAAGTGAGGAAACGTTCAGGGAGGCTGGATGCAGTGGCTCATGCCTGTAATCCCAGCACTTTGGGAGGCCGAGGCTGGTGGCTCACACCAGTCTGGCCAATATGGCAAAATCCCATCTCTACTAAAAATACAAAAATTAGCTGGATATGGTCGTGCCTGTAATTGCAGCTACTTGGGAGGCTAAAGCAGGAAAATGGCTTGAACCTGGGAGGCAGAAGTTGTAGTGAGCTGAGATTGCACCATTGCACTCCAGCCTGGGCAACACAGAGAGACTCTCTCAAAAATAAATAAATAAAAGAGCCCAAGGATGGACATAACTGGGGTGTGCACTTCAGCCCCCTGATTCTGAGTCCCATGTTCCTTTCACCTAACCACACTGTCTCTGGCCTCGGACTTTAATCCTACTCAGCATAGGTCCTTGTCACCACAGACCTCATCTCTCACACCACTGTAGGAAATTTCTAAGTAATCTCTCTGCCTCTGGGTGTTTCCTTCTCCAAGCCAGCCTATGTACAACACCAGTCATGTTTCTAAAACCCCATCGGTACACATCACTCCCCTCCCACAACTACCTTCACTGGCTCCCACTGCCCACTTCCTTAACCTTCTAACGACTCCCACGCGTCTGTCCTCTCTCCAGTTTGGTTTTATTCAAGATGCCCCTAGACTTCCTAGCTATAGTGGAGGGACCTAGTGGTGGTAAGCTGTCTGCCCAGAGATTCTGCCTGGGTTGTAGGGGAAACAGATGTGCCGTGCCTGTGGACGGCCACTCATCCCTGAGTTGGCCTTGCTGAGGTGCATGTGTCCTGACAGGGTGAGAATGGCAAGCTCCCCTCCTGAATGGCTGCACTCCTCCAAGTCTTGGCTGCCTGCTGTCCAGGGCCAGGGGGTGGTAATCAGGGACTGTTGCTGTTTTAGTTGCTGTTGTTTTGAGATGGAGTTTTGCTCTTGTCAACAAGGCTGGAGTGCAATGGCGAGATCTTGGCTCACCGCAACTGCCGCCTGCCAGATTTAAGCGATTTTCCTGCCTCAGCCTCCCAAGTAGCTGGGATTACAGGCATGCGCCACCACACCCTGCTAATTTTGTATTTTTAGTAGAGATCCATCTTGGTCAGGCCATGCTCGAACTCCCGACCTCAGGTGATCCGCCCGCCTTGGCCTCCCAAAGTGCTGGAATTACAGGTGTGAGCCACCATGTCCGGCCCTGTTGCTGTTTTTTTTTTTTTTTTTTTTTTTTTTTTACCAGCTTTGGGTTCTCAAAGGACCCTGAAGGCTGAATTTTGCTGTCCCAAAGGGTGGACAGCCATGGTCCCTAAGTGACCCCTCTCTAGATTTCCCTCTGGGAAGGCAGGGCCTATACCCCTCAGAGACCACCCTATGTCCCTAGGACCAGCTCCTCACCTGCTTGCCTGGATGCTCCTTCCCAGGAGGACCATGCTTATCATGACCACCACAGCTGCCAGGGCAAGGATGGAATGATTCCAGGGAGATGCTGTGGAGGGACACACAGGACAGAGCCCTGAGGAGCAGTCAGGTACCTCTCAAGCCCACTAACAGCTGGGGCCTGGGCTCAAACCCAGCTTACAGCATCAACTCTCCCTTGCTGCAGAGGCCCTAATCAAGACTAGCCGCTTGCCCTGGGGCACTCCCAGTCTAACAGGTGGGAGGGTGGAAGACACAGTCTACTCTAGAGAAGGCCTAATCTAATGGAGGAGGCAGTACTGCAGTTAAATAATAGTGGGGCAACAGGGGTGAAGGGCAGGGGAGAGGTGGGCCAAGATAAACTTAACAATATTCAGTTTTGCCAGGGCTGGCCCTCTGTGTAGCACAAGGAAAAGAAAGAAGGCTGGCACAGTGGCTCACACCTATATCCCAGCACTTTGGGAAGCCAAGGCAGCTGGATCACCTGAGATCAGGAGTTTGAGACCAGCCTGGCCAACATGGTGAAACCTCAATCTCTACTAAAAATACAAAAATAGAGGCTGGGTGTGATAGCTCACGCCTGTAATCCCAGCACTTTGGGAGGCTGAGGTGGGCAGATCACGAGGTCGGGAGATCAAGACCATCCTGGCTAAAACAGTAAAACCCCATCTCTACTAAAACTACAAAAAGCTGGATGTGGTGGCACACACCTGTAATCCCAGCTACTTGCGAGGCTGAGGCAGGAGAATCACTTGAACCCGGGAGGCGGAGGTTGCAGTGAGCCGAGATCGTGCCACCACAGTCCAGTCTGAACGAGACTCTGTCTCAAAAAATAATAATAAAATAAAAATTAAAAAATAATAAAAATGCAAAAATTAGCTGGATGTGGTGGGGTACCCCTGTAATCTCAGCTACTTGGGAGGCTGAGGCATGAGAATCACTTGAATCCAGGAGGCAGAGCTTGCAGTGAGCCAAGATCGCACCACTGCACTCCAGCCTGGGAATAGAGTGACTCTGCCTCCAAAAAAGACAAAAGAAAAAAAAAAAAAGGAAAGAAGGCAGGGAGAGGGGCAGAAGGAATGGCATCTGTCCACAGAGAATACATAAAGTGGCTGAACTGAATGTGGCTACTCAGGATTCCTCCATGCTGCGCCAAAATGAGGCAGGGTCCAGCCCCAGAGCAGTTGCATTTGCTGTCCTCCCTCCAGGAATGGTCCTCCCCCAAATAATCTGCATAGCGAATTCCCCAGCTTCCCGCCAGCCACCTTCCTGACGATAAAAAGTCACCTTTTTAGTGAGGACTTCCTTGACCACATTCCTGCCCTTGCTGGGTACTTCCTATTCTCTTTCTCTGTGTAATTTTTCTTTTTATCACTCATCACCAATGCCCTATGCCTTTTAGTTATTTTATTTTTCATTTTTTATTTTATTTGTTTATTTATTTCCAAACAGAGTCTCGCTCTGTCACCAGGCGCCAGGCTGGAGTGCAGTGGCACGATTTTGGCTCACTGCAACGTCCGCCTTCTGGATTCAAGCAATTCTCCTGCCTCAACCTCCCGAGTAGCTGGGACTACAGGCGCGCGCTACCACACCCAGCTAATTTTTTTGTATTTTTGGTAGAGACGGGGTTTCACCATGTTGGCCAGGCTGGTCTCGATCTCTTGACCTCGTGATCCACCTCAGCCTCCCAAAGTGCTGGGATTACAGGCGTGAGCCACTGCGCCTGGCCTTAGTTGTTTATATTTAATCCCCACTAGAATGTACGTTCCATGAAGGCAGAGATTTTTGTGTTTTATTCACTATTGTCGCCCCAGTGCTGACAATAGTGTCTGGTACACAGTAGGAGCTTAATAAATGTTGTGATGGTTGGAGGGCTGCATAAATGAGCGACTACACCTGGGGAAAAGGAAAGGGGGGGCATTCAGCCAGACCCCTCTGGGTACTGAGACACCCCAGACTGAGTTCCTGTCTTGCTGCCAGGCCTGGAGGGGACAACAGTGTCAAGGGCTTCAACCAAACTCTGCTCTGTGTTGCGGGGCACACCCCGACCCCTGCCATTAATCTTTCACCACTTACCATCTTCCACACGAAAAAACCAAAGCATCTCTTCCAGCAGCTCCTGGGGCACCACAGTACCGGCTGGGGCTCCGGGAGCCACCTGACTATGCTCCATGCCCCTGCTCCTGGTGGTGTGAGCCGCTGGCAATGAGGTCCTTAGGCCCTTAGCCCCAGCAGCTCTCCTGGCCTCCTCGGTTCTGGCAGAAAGCCCTAAGACCCCTGGAAACAAAGCAGAGAGCATGACCGGATATCCCCCCTGAGTTTGATCTTCCTCTGTGCCCAAACCCAGATCTCCTCTGGCCCAAAGTTATGGGACCTGGAGGGGCAGAGACTGTAGAAGTTTCAGTGATTCAAATTGTTTTTTCTGTTTGTTTTTTTTTTTGAGACAGAGTCTTGGTCTGTTGCCCAGGCTGGAGTGCAGTAGTGCAATTTTGGCTCACCATGACCTCTGCCTCCTGAGTTCAAGCAATTCTTGTGCCTCAGCCTCCTGAGTAGCTGGGATTACAGGTGTGTGCCACCATGCCCAGCTAATTATTTATATTTTTAGTAGAGACAGGGTTTTGCCATGTTGGCCAGGCTGGTCTTGAACTCCTGACCTCAGGTGATCCTCCCTCCTTAGCCTCCCAAAGAGCTGGGATTACAGGCATGAGCCACCATGCCTGGCTCAATAACACATTTTTTTAAAGGACACACATTAAACACATTAAGTTGTCTCTTTGGGAGGAGGAGGAAGAGAGCAGGAATGGAGATAAATGTAACTAAAATAAAACGGGAAGGATTTTGAACAGATCAATTATAAAACATGCCACAGGACATCAAGAAAAAAGGTGTAAAGGAAGGATCGAAGCATTCTCAGGTCGCCTCACACTCTGACCTTGCCTTAGGAGCTAATCAATCCAGGCACCCTTACATCTGAGACTGGATGGAATGTCACAATCCTTATTGGACAGTGCTCTGGACAGTCAGTTGTCCAGGGCCCTGTCCAACAATCTCAGCCCCAAAAAGCCTTTGGACGCTTAGCCAGGGGCATTCAAAAACAACTGGATGGCAAACAGCCAGACAGAAAATCGGAGTATAAACAAAAGAAATAGCTTGACCTCAGAGTTTCCTCCAGCCAAGCGACCTGAGAAAACTAAAAAGGCATACAAACAAATTGCAAGGGAAAATATTTTGACACAAATGTAATACTGACTTAACCTTTTCATATGTGAATGATCAGTCATGTGTCGATGTGGAGACAGAAGTCGGGGAGAAAAAAAATACCTTTCTTAGACTTTTTTTTTTTTGAGACGGAGTCTTGCTGTCTCGCCCAGGCTGGAGTGCAGTGGCATGAGCTCCGCTCACTGCAACCTCCACCTCCCAGGTTCAAGCAAGTCTTCTGTCTCAGCCTTCTGAGTAGCTGGGACTACAGGCACATGCCACCATGCCCAGCTGATTTTTGTATTTTTAGTAAAGATGGGATTTCACCATGTTTCCCAGACTAGTCTTAAACTGGTGATATCAGGTGATCCACTCACCTCAGCTTCCCAAAGTGCTAGGAATACAGGCGTGAGCCACTGTGCTTTCTGAGACTTTCAAGGACTCAGCTGCACACTGCCTACTCACTTGTTTGAGGGAGAGTCTAGCTGTCTATCTACCTACCTACCTACCTACCTACCGATCTAAAATTATGGAAAGACAAAGTTACAGGAATGGCTAACAGATGTGATCGGTGTTCTAGCTCCAACTGACTGTCCAGAGCACCGTCTCAGATGTAAGCGTACCTGGATTGATTGGTAACATCAGCCACAGGCCCCTGTCTCATATGCGGACCCCCTGAACTCACAGAGAAAAGTGTAGAGGTCGAGAAACCAAACAGTCTTCCTCTAGGGTGTGGGAAGAGGCTTAGACACACAGGGCATTCATGTTGACCCCGTCTACACTGTGTGGTTTCTTATGAGTACACACTGCCTTCATGAGAAGAATGCATGCAATTACAGTTTTCAATGTGTATGTGTATTTATCTGCATATGTTTAATGTATATTTTGTCTGTTTGTAGACTTTTCTTTTTTTTGAGATGACGTTTCATTCTTGTCGCCCAGGCTGGAGTGCAATGGTGTGATCTCAGCTCACTACAACCTCCACCTCCCAGGTTCAAGCGATTCTCCTGCCTTAGCCTCCCAAGTAGCTGGGATTACAGGCACGTGCCACCACACCTGGCTAATTTTTGTATTTTTAGTAGAGACAGCATTTTATCATGTTGGCCAGGTTGGTCTCAAACTCCTGACCTCAGGTGATCCACCTGCCTCGGCCTCCCAGAGTGCTGGGATTACAGGCACCATGCCCAGCTAATTTTGTATTTTTATTTATTTATTCATTTATTTATTTTTAGAGACAGAGTTTCACTCTCGTCGCCCAGGCTGGAGTGTAATGTCACGATCTTGGCTCACTGCAACCTCCACCTCCCGGGTTCAAGTGATTCTCCTGCCTCAGCCTCCTGAGTAGCTGGGATTACAGGCGCCTGCCACCACACCCAGCTAATTTTTATATTTTTAATAGAGATGGGGTTTCACCACATTGGTCAGGCTGGTCTCGAACTCCTGATCTGGGGTGATCCACCTGCCTCAACCTCCCAAAGTGCTGGGATTATAGCAGGCCTGAGCCACCAGGCCTGGCCAAACACATACTTCTATCGAAGCACATATCCAGTTTGCTTCTAGAGAGAGCATCATATTGTCACTTTCATGAATAAATTAAACCTTATGCCTTATTTGCATGTCATTAGTTTTGCCTTTAATGTTCTTTTCTTTTTCCAGGATCTCATTTAGGATGTCATACTGCATTTAGTTGTCTTGTCTCATTTAGGCCCCTCTGGGAGACCCCTGCGTTTTAAACAGGGTTTAACCATCTGCTGTCGGACTGTGATTTCTTCCCAAAGACCTGGGCCACCCATCCCCAAGGCAAGATGAGGACACTCACCCTGGGTCCTGAGTTCCTGGGGACTGCCTTGATCTGCTGTTGGGAGCTGCACCGATTTCTGTATCTTCCTCTTCCTCCTCTTATTGGGACAACAGGATTGTCTTTGCACATGAGCTCTCCCAGGCAGTCACAGCTGTTACTTAGGAGACAGTGCCTGGAGAGCCTGCGGCAGCTGGGCTCATCTGGTAGCTCTGCCCTTAGCACACGCCCAGGCCTAGAGCCTTCTCTACCACTCCGGGGTGACTGACCTCTTGAATGAGTGGCCTCAGAGTGCAAACAAGCGCCACCTGACTTTCACAATCTGAAAGCACCATGAGCCCAGTTCTTTCTTTGTTACATGTTGGCTTCAAGTAAAGAGAATACATCCAGATCCTCTGGACGGGCAGGAGAATGGGCTGCAGAGAACCTGCGGTCTGTGGGTTCCAGCACTGCAGGGGAATATGTGGTGTGCCCACTCCAGGTCTCTAATTCCCAATATCATCAATATTTAACCATGGAGCAAGGAGCCAGGGCTGGCCTTTTACAACCTGTGCTTTCTCATAGCGAAGGTCGTGGTATCATGTGAATTCCTCACAAGGAGCTATAAAATAAGACCTTTGGAGGTGGGGGTTGGGAAAGCATCTGTGAGAACCAGTGACCCAGAGAGCAGGAAGCAGGCCAAGGCAAGCAACTTGGTGGGGAAGCAGGAATGAGGTGCTCCTCCCACCAGGCCAGCTCCATTCAACTCTGATAGTCTGTGGACTTTTCCACAAACTGGCTCCTTGCATCTTAAGCAACTGTTGGTTTAGCAAGGAGTGGGCTTATTTCTTATTTCACAAATGAAACAGAGGCTGAGTGAGGTCACATGTCAAGCCCAAGCTCCTCTATGACTTAAACAGTTTTCAGCAGGGGGCAGAGGAAAGAAGACCCAGCAGGGAACCTAGGGGCTGCCTGGAGCGCCAGCTCCACCCCATTTTTTTTTTGAGACCGGAGTCTTACTCTGTTGCCCAGGATGGAGTGCAGTGGCATGATCTCAGCTCACTGCAACCGCCGCCTCCAGGGTTCAAGCGATTCTCCTGCCTCAGCCTCCTGAGTACCAGGTATGCACCACCATTCCTGGCTAATTTTTGTATTTTTAGTAGAGACAGGGTTTCACCATGTTGGTCAGGCTGGTCTTGAACTCCTGTCCTTGTGATTCGCCCGCCTCAGCCTCTCAAAGTGCTAGGATTACAGGCATGAGTCACTGCGCCTGGCACTCCTCCTCATTTTGTAATGCATTCATTTATTCATTGAATAAATGTTGCCTGAGCATCTACTGTGTAATACATGATAAATAAGACCGGTGAGGACCCTGCTCTCTTGGAGCTCAAACTCCGCAGGAGATAGCCAACAAAAACGTAAGCAAAAACATAACTAAAAAATACTTACAGCTAGTGATAATTTCTGTGAATAATTTAAAGAACATAATGATATAGAACAGGATGGGGTGGGGGAGCCATGATTACTGTATTACTATACTAAAACTGATGAGGGGTTAACCATGCAAAGGCCTGAGAAAGCAGGTACAAAGGCCAGGCGTGGTGGCTCACACCCATAATCCCAGCACTTTGGGAGGCCGAGGCAGGTAAATCACCTGAGGTCAGGAGTTCGAGACCAGCCTGACCAACAAGGTGAAACTTCATCTCTACTAAAAATACAAAAATTAGCCAGATGTGGTGGCAGACATCTGTAGTCCCAGCTACTCAGGAGGCTGAGACAGGAGAATTGCTTGAACCCAGGAGATGGAGGTTGCAGTGAGCCAAGATTGTGCCATTGTACTCCAGCCTGGGCTGAGACTCCATCAAAAAAAAAAAAAAAAAAAAAAAGCAAGTACAAAGACACTGAAGAAATAATGAGCTTAATATCTCTGGGACAAAAAGGTGGCCAGTGTAGCTGAATCGCAGTGATGAGGGGAAGTGGTGTGGAATAAGGAGGGTGGACAGGAGCAGATCACGGAGGGGCTTGGAAAACAGGGCGAGGACTTAGATTTTACCCTAAAAGTAATGCGAAGCCACTGGAGGGTTTTAGGCAGGGAAGTGATGTGATCTGATTGACGTTTGTCTAAGATTACTTGGCCTGTTGGGTGGAAAATGGATTGTAGGAGAGCAGGAGAGGAACAGGGAGACCACTGGGAGGCTGTTACACTCATCCAGGCACACCATGGTGGTAGTCTGGACCGGTCTGGTGGCGGTGGAGACGATGAGAAGTGGTCAGATTCAGGGCGCATTTTGGAGAGAAAGGGAGCTGATAGATTTCAGGAGAGGAACTCAACACTAACTCTCTTAAACACGAAAGGAATTTATTGGCTCATAAACTGGGAAAGGCAGGGTGGAGCTGACCTGAGGGATGCGGGAAGCAGGGATTTGAAGACCGGTAGTGGTGGCTTTCTCTGGCCCTTTCTATGCTTTTCTCTGGGTGCCAGGCTCGTTACCCCAGGCTGGCCATCTCTGGGAAGCTGGACCAGATGATAGGAAACCCAAGCTCATGCTCTTACAGCTGCAGGGGAAGTAGTTACTCTTCTTAGCTCTGGTTAAAAAATTCCTGGGAAAGGACTCTAATTGCCCAGCCTCAGTCATGTACCCATGTCTTGGATCAATAGTATGGCTGGAAAAGGGGGTGCTATGGTAGCCAACACAGACCTCATGCCTGTTGGTAGCCAGGAGAGACAGGCCATACCATGTGGGTGCCTGAAGCAACCATTTGACCACAATCCTCCTTGTCTGCCTCGGAGGAGTGTTGTGGGGTTCTAATGGGAGTGCATCCCCTTGATGAGGAGCCTGCACAATCCTGGGTTTTCCACTCTTCTGCTTCGGTGTCTTTTCTCTCCCTCCTTTTACCCTAGCTCTTTCTACTATGGCCTATCCAATAACTTATTCCACGGTTGCCACATGCCAGGCAATATGCCAGTGATAAACAGTCGCAAGCATTGTCCTTGCCCTCATGGAGACTGCAGTCCAGCAGAACAGGCAGACGTGTGTTCACACCAGACATCATGTCATCACAACTTCTGTGTGACAAGTGCCACAAAGGAAACGTGCACATGGAGATGAGAGCACATCACCAAGCCCTCCCTCCCTCACAGCATCAATCTCATTCCTGGCCAATCAATCCTACCTTGAAATCTCCTCTCCTGACTTCTCCAGTCCCTTATCTTCCTGCCTAGAAAATAAAGGGCGGTCAGCAGTGGAATTTCCTCTGCTATTCTGGTATCTGCTACCTCCTAACCTTTAGAGTCTCAGCTTAAATATCATCTTCTCAGGGAGGCCTTCCATGTCAGTTGAGAATTGTGTTTGGCTCTGGGTGACAAAGACCCAATCTCAGTGGTTTAAACCATAAGAGTTTATATCCTCAAAGAAGAATGTCAGAAGTAGCCAGTTACTAATGTCATAAGATCAAGGAACTCAGGGCTGAGGTTTCTAAGATTCCCTCATGGCCCCAAGATGGCTGATGCAGCTCCTGCCATTATATCCATGTTCCAAGCAGAAAAAAAAGCAAAAGGTAAAAAGGACAAAAAAGTGTGGCCATGCTTTATAGTAAACAACCTGTCTGAGAGTAAACTCAGCTAATATAGAGAACTAAGGTCAGGGGAGTTATTCCCATAAAACAGTAGCAAAGGCAGCTCAGTGGGCTAACCAGAGGACTTACTCTACTACCAGCGTGGAGGTCTTCACAGGTCATGTCCAGCAGGATTTGAAAACCGTCATGGGCCTGTGACTGCTGTGTGGACCGTAGCACAGCCTGCTAATCTCTCCCCCAGATTACATTCTTCCCTTCTTCTTTTTAATGAGAATCCTCTACATTTTAGAGGCATATGGCCACCCAACTAGAAACTGCATTTCCCAGGCCAGGCATGGTGGCTCACACCTGGGAGGCCGAGGTGGGCAGATCATGAGGTCAGGAGTTCTAGACCAGCTTGGCCAACGTGGTGAAATCGTCTCGCTTAAAAATGCAAATTGGCCAGGTGTGGTAGTGTGCACCTTAAATCCCAGCTACTCTGGAGGCTGAGGCAGGAGAATTGCTTGAACCTGGGAGGTGGAGGTTGTAGTGAGCTGAGATGACACCATTGCATTTAGGTCTGGGTGACAAGACTCCATCTTGGAAAAAAAAAGTAATGAACCTGCATTTCCCAGGTTCCTTGTGTCACAAGTGGTCCTTTGACTACGTTTTGGCCAAAGAGATCTGAGAAGTGATTGCAACTTCAAAATCACTTTTTAAAAAAATTTACACAAACTCTTTTTATTGGAGTATACATACAGAAAAGTACACAAATATTAAGCTTAGTGAATTTTCACATGTGAACACACTTGTGCATGGGAACATATGCCATCCCGATCAAGAAGAGAACAATTGCACCACTGTACGCTCCACTCCAGCCTAAGCCACAGAGTAAGATCTGTCTCTAAAGGGAAAAAAAGAAAAACAGAGCATTGTCAGATCCCAGAAGTCTTCTCTGGTCACTATGGAAAAACAGAGCATTGTCAGATCCCAGAAGTCTTCTCTGGTCACTATGGAAAAACAGAGCATTGTCAGATCCCAGAAGTCTTCTCTGGTCACTATGGAAAAACAGAGCATTGTCAGATCCCAGAAGTCTTCTCTGGTCACTATGGAAAAACAGAGCATTGTCAGATCCCAGAAGTCTTCTCTGGTCACTATGGAAAAACAGAGCATTGTCAGATCCCAGAAGTCTTCTCTGGTCACTATGGAAAAACAGAGCATTGTCAGATCCCAGAAGTCTTCTCTGGTCACTATGGAAAAACAGAGCATTGTCAGATCCCAGAAGTCTTCTCTGGTCACTATGGAAAAACAGAGCATTGTCAGATCCCAGAAGTCTTCTCTGGTCACTATGGAAAAGCAGAGCATTGTCAGATCCCAGAAGTCTTCTCTGGTCACTATGGAAAAGCAGAGCATTGTCAGATCCCAGAAGTCTTCTCTGGTCACTATGCCTTACATAGGCAATCTGACTTTTAATACCATAGATTAATTTTGTCCTTTTTTACACTTTATATAAATGTAATCAGTCAATAGGCAGTTGTTTGTGCCAGCTTCTTTTGCTCAACATTATACTTGTGAGATTCATCCGTGTTGTGTGTAGTTGTGGTTCATTCTTTCTTGTTGTAGCATAGTATTCTATTGTGTACTATGCTGCACTGTTTCTACCTGTGGATCATGTTTTTCCTTCCTTCCTTCCTTCCTTCCTTCCTTCCTTCCTTCCTTCCTTCCTTCCTTCCTTCCTTCCTTCTTCCCTCCCTCCCTTTCTTTCTTTCTTGCTTTCTTTTTCTTTCTTTCTGTCGCCCAGGCTGGAGTGCAATGGCACAGTCTTGGCTCACTGCAACCTCTGCCTCCTGGGTTCAGGTGACGTTCCTGCCTCAGCCTCCTGAGTAGCTGGAATTACAGGCACCTGCCACCACACCTGGTTAATTTTTGTATTTTCAGTAGAGACAGGATTTTGCCATTTTGGCCAGGCTGCTCTCAAACTCCTGATCTTGTGATCCGCTTGCCTCGGCCTCCCAAAGTGTTGGGATTATAGGCATG